GTTAACCAGAAAATGACAAACCGGACCATAGGGTACACAGATTATTAGTCAGAAGCCGGAGCTGTGTGTCGGTCCTTTTTCCGCCCAGCAGAAAAAAGGTCCAACATACAGTCCCAACTTCTGACCAACGACTAACGATTCATCGTAGACTAGGGCTTTACGGTTACAGTCGTAAATCAGCAGAGCGGAACGTCGACGCCTGTCACAGGCGATTCATCAATTAATTCGCGACGGAGTGTGGAAGTCAGCCACGGCTAACCCGACGCCGTCCAATCCGTTTTCGAAAAGTTACACGCGCGCAAGACGCCGCCGGCTGCTGCCGGTGCTCGCCAATCGATAGACGGATGCGACAGATAGACGTGTGCGCCGCGCGTTGCGCGACTCGAAACGATCGCAGACGGGGCTTCCCTCGGAAATGCAGCGAGAGGTGGGATTCTAAAATTAATTCGACGCGCTCCCGACGAGAATCTCGGAGAATATGAGGCACGGCGTTGAACCGGATCTCGGGGCGCGTCTCATTTGCCGATCGCTCCCGGGAATACTTTCCCTCGGGCGCTAATAAGCTCTCGGTCTCGATTTTCGAGATAGATAGCGACAAGTGGAAACGTTGCGCGTGGGAACGGAATTGCTTTCTCCCGAAATTCGACGTATGCTCGAAAGACGATTGCGATCGCGGGAGCAAACACGGGTTTTCTACGCGTATCTGAACGCGGAGAGAATTTTTTCATAAAATTTACCCGAAAATCACGTAATCGTGGGACAACGTGGCATTTGCAAGAATTTCATGAGTTTTTGAAATTTGAGTTGCAATTCTCTCCGCGCACAGTATCCTGATATCTCTACCAGCTAATAAAAAGGGATAAGCATGTTTCGAGCGTTTGGAAGAATATTCGTGCCTTTGGGCTTTGATTATCTGGGAGAAGCTCTAAGACCGTTTGTCGACACCAATATCGTTTTCATTAGATAATTTTATCGCGAATGGGATATCGCTCTCTTCTCTTGCTACTGTGAGAGCGAGATAGCGCCGAAACGAAATTGTCGCCCGCACGTTCTCTACCACAATCTGGGGCTCGATCATGAATCTTGTTCTCTAGCGTGAACTCGTGAAAAGTGAACAATTCCATTGAAGAGTTCAATATTCGTCAGTGAAATTTCTCACTTTTCACGAGTTGACGCTAGAGGAAACGATTCATGATCGAGCCCCTGGACCTAATTCAGACGCGTTGGACCCGGCGGCCCATGAGGTGAGGTGTCTCGCCGGAAATCGCTACGGGAGGGAAATCTCGTCTGGGAATCGCGCTGCGGGCAGCCTTCGGTCGAGCCCGAAGAGACCGAAAGGCCAAAGAGCCCGGCGTGCTATTTCCACGTTTCCTGGCCCGCGATCCCGCGACAGCATGTGGGGTGGGACGATAAAGCGAGCATTTGGCACATCGATCGACGGTTTGAGCGTATCGGCTGCCAAAAAATACACCACCGATCTCACCGCCGTGTACGGTAACGTTGCGTCACGCCGAAACAACCACGCTCGTCGGTCACGCTCTCCCTGTCTCTCTCCTCTCCCGCTGTGAAAAACCATCCCGCGGGTGGCTCGTCAAATTTACCGATCTCCGGGCCCGGGACCGATTCCTGGCGGTAGCGCCGAGATGGTGCTGGGATCGGATCTGATGCCCGAGAGCGGGGGAGCAAGATTGTCGGCTAGGCTTGCGCAACACTTGCGCGGGTTTCCTCGCAACCTCGTTCGCTCCCGCGCGGAGCAGACTATTTTTAACCGATCGATGTGTGCTCTCGTATGCGCATTCGTCGATAATTGACGAATCGATGGATTTCGATCTTACTTGCAGTTCTAGCGATTCAAATACGATGTAATTAAACAGACACGTAGTTTGGTCATCGAACATATTTTCTTATGTTAATTTAAAGTAAAGTTTGTTGAGACGAAGTTGGGAAGCGGTGAGTCCGTGGCACAAGTATTACCCGACACTCCACACCGGATGTGGCATTTCGCGAATGAATCATCGTTTCGGGCGCGGGCTCCAAGACGAAAAGGCCTCGTGTAATAAATACATGCGCGCATTCTACGGTAGCTATTTTCGAAGCGACATAACGGTCGTTGTCTGCATTAATATATTTATTGGCGAGTACGGGGAAAACGCGTTACCGGACAATAACTGATGTGGACGCAACGAGGGATAGATTTTACATTAGCTAACAACGTGAAAGTGTATCTCTGTACGGAGAGAATTTTCTTTCAAAGTTTATCCTGAAAATTATGTAATCGCAAAACGACAAGGTATTTCGAAGAATTTTATGAGTTTTTGAAATTTTACCATACGTTTTACTAGGAAAATGTACGGTAAAATTTCCAAAAACTCAAAGTTCTTCAAAACGCCATGTTGTCCCACGGTCGCATGATTTTCAGGATAAATTTTAAGAGAAAATTCTCTCCGAGTCATGTGATATCTATCAGATATGAATGGCATCGTTAAGATTCGATCTCGAGGCAGTGACACTAAAGCGACCGCCTTGAAATCGTGCGACGTACCGCGCGAATGTCTCTCTAATAAGCGAAACTCCGTAGGTGTTTCAAAGGGAGTACAGCTCTCCGCGCGGAGAATTAAGGCTTCGCGAGTAATCTCGTTACCGCCGAGCGGCGCGTTTCGCGGCTTCGCGGTTTCGCTCCCCCGCGGCGCCAGGGTCCCTCACCGGGATCGGGAGCTGATCGAGAGAGATTCACGGGATCTCTCCCCTAGCCAGGGAGAAGGGGGGAAGGGATTCCCCGGAGGCGGGAAGCCGTAACGGTGCGCGGCGCGTGCTGCCGTGTCTGAAACGCCCTGTAATCCGCACGACCGTCGTTGCGGGCGCGCGTTACAGCACGGAGAGAGAGAGTATTGACCGTCCCAACGGGCACCAGTGGAAATTTCCACTGCCCTACCCCAAGACTCATGGTAACCGCGATCGCTACACACACAAGCAGAGGCGCGCGCGCGCGCACACACGCACACACACACATACACACATACCTTCCGGCTCGCTCTGTGTCGTCGGCTGTGTACGACTCGCGTCTTGAGCCCCGTGTCCCGTGTCTGCCTTTACCGATATAAAGGCCACGTCTGAGACGGTCGTCTTTTTCACCGCTAGGCAGCGGTTGGCAATTCCCGGGGAATTTCGAATTTCGATGACTCACGGTCGCCGATCTCTCCGAGATCGTAGCGCGATCGCGCGCACTGGGCGCGGATCGACGGACGCTCCGTGGAACGTTCTGGAACACGCGGGCGCTCGAGACGTAGGAAATTCCAGCCGCGCCGCCCGCCGTCGCTTCGATTACGTTGGCCGTTATTGATTTCCCTTGTCGCGCTCCGATCCGCCTTCCCGCCGGCTCGACGAATGAGACGACCAGTGTCGGCCAATTCAAATCAACGAGGCATCGATCGAGGGCAAATCGAGGAACGAAGTTCGAGGACTCGACGCGATCGTCATACGGCGTTAATTCGTTGTATGTACATAAGTTACTGTACATTTGCAAAAGTTTCTGGACTTATATCGGTCAGATTTCGGTTCCATTCCGTTTCCGAAACAGTTCCGTTGCATAAGAACCGTCGGGCGGCCGGGGAAATTCGTGCGAGAGCGCGGAACGTACTCCGGCGGTGCTCGTTCCGCGAGCGATGAGAACCGCTGCCAGGTATGCGAGAACCCCCCGGTACTCGAGAAGGCATTAAAGACGAGGCGGTTCGTATTGAATTCGAACGGTGGGCCTATCTGACCTTGAGAGGAAAACTCGATGGAATGCGATATACGCGCCGTTGTCCCCGCGGCGGCTTTCTTTTTCGGCCGCATTGGCGGTAAGCGGCACGAGCGCGAAAAGGACGGACAGACTGGGTGGATTGGCGACGGGGACGGGGACGGGGACGGGGACGGGGACGGGGACATGGCCGGGACGGGACGGCGACGGGGATGGGACTAGGGACGGGGCCCGGGGACGGGGACGCGCGGCGAACAGAAACGGCGTGAGATAGCGCGACTCTTGCACGCCTATTTTTAGACCGGCGCCGTCCTTCGCTTTTACGTAACGACGTAAAGAGCACGGTGTATACCGTGCGTCCTAATCCAACCGGATCACCGTAGATGCGTTATCGAGCGTTCGCGCTGCGTTCTCTGCAGCTGCGCGCTAATTATGCGTCCAACGCTGATAACGCGTATCAGCGTGTGGGCGATGCGTTGCCCGCCGGATTCGCCGATGGTTTTTTTAGTCGGGAGATCTCGCGACCGCCATTTCCGCGTAAGGAGAAGGACCCGTCGTTGCCGATTCGCGACAGTTTCGACATCTAACCGGAAACGGAGATTACGGCACGAGCTCGGTTGATAAGGGGGAAAAAACGGTGGCGCGACGGTAGGTCAGAGCGAAAGTTGCATTATTGACTGTAGAATTGGACTTTTGTGTCCTGCAGCTGATAATCTTGAGATTTGCATCCGCATATCTACCGTTGATTGAATAGGAATTATCATAGAAAATGAGCTGAGGGATGTCTGAATAGATCGTTATCCACGGAGAGATGAAATCGATAAGCGTAAAGGCCGGTATCCACTTGGTCCAAGTTCTAGCATCGTGGACACAGGGCCTTTATGCCCTTTTTATACCTAAGGAT